CCCATCTGCTTCAAAAGAGGCATTATCTTCATTAAAGCACCTTTTGGCTAAACTAAATTATACCGAACTACTAATGGCTGGAGACTTGAACTGGGACTGGCTAAATGCAACTTCTGGTGAATTTAAAGAATTCTGCGATTCAATTAATCTTACCCAGCTAGTCTATCTTCCTACCAGGCCAAATCTTAAATGCCCTGAAAAGTCTACATTAATTGATTTGGTTTTAACAAATGTACCTCATAAATTCTCTTCACTTGGTGTTTTCTGTAATGACCTAAGTGATCACTGTGTTGTTGCTGTTTGCAGAAATGCTAAAATTCCAAAATGTAAGCCACGCATAGTGTGCAAAAGGAATCTTAAACAATTTAATGAACAGGCTTTTCATCATGATTTGTCATTAGTTAATTGGGAAAAAATCGGACTATTACCAGATGTAGAGCTAGCTTGGACATATTTTAAGGAAAGTTTTATGGGAATTGTTAATAAACATGCCCCCTTACGGAAAGTTAGAATTAAAGGTCGAGAAAATCCTTGGTTTCGCAGACACTCGCAGATAGCATACACAAGCGTAATAGAGCATGGGACAAGGCGAGACAAACAGATACTTCCACTGATTGGTCTGTTTTCAAACAGCTTAGAAATAAATGTACTTCTCTTATTAAAAAGGCCAAATCTGAATACTTTTTGTCTGTCACCACTGAGAACCTCAATGATCCACAGAAATTTTGGAAAGTAATCAAGTCTTTTTCCGCCAATAAAATGACTCAAACCTTTCCTAAATCTGTTGTAAAAGATTCAGTCTCAATTAATGATAAAACTGAAATTTTGAATTGTTTTAATGAACACTTTCTATCAGTGGGTTCCTTGTTTGCTTCTGCAGAAACTTTTTTTAACAAATACTTGCCCAGAACTCTCTATGTTTTCTGGAGACCGTTTTAACTTTGTACCTTTTAGTGTTTATGAAGTGCATAAAGCTTTAAAGGCTTTGGATCACAGAAAACCTCCTGGTCCAGACTTGATGGAACCTTATTTTTTGAAGTTGGCAGCTGATTTTATTGCAGAACCACTCTCAATTCTATTTAATTTTTCAATTAAAACCAAAGAAATTCCAGCGGTTTGGAAATCAGCTTTCGTTTTGCCTTTATTGAAAGGAGGTGATCCATCGGTGTTGACTAATTATAGGCCAATATCAAATTTGTGTGTTTTATCCAAAATCCTGGAATCTCTAGTTTGTGACCAGTTGAAAGAGTTTTTGTACTCTAATGATATTGTCTCCAAATTTCAGTCAGGCTTCAGGAAAAAACACAGTACTAACACTGCCACTATGAAAGTGATAAATGATATTATTGTGGCACTTGATAAGAAATTGTACTGTGCGTCACTCTTTATTGACCTCTCAAAAGCTTTTGACACTGTTGATCATGCAGTCCTAAAAAACAGACTGCTCAGCCTTGGATTGTCAGAACATGCATTAGCGTGGTTCTCAAATTATCTGAAAAATAGAACCCAGTGCATTAAACTTGAAGGTCTTTGTTCTAAATTTGTTGCTGTCCACAAGGGGTGCCACAGGGCTCAGTTTTGGGTCCCTTCTGTTCCTTTTATATATCAATGACTTGGGTCAAAATGTCTCAGACACAAATTTGCATTTTTATGCTGACGACACAGTTATTTACTGTTATGGATCATCTCTTGCTCAGGCCATTGAAACTTTACAGAAAGCCTTTGTTGCTTTCCAGCATTCACTTATTCAGCTAAAATTAGTTCTCAATGCTGACAAGACTAAGCTAATGTTGTTTTCCAAGTCAAAGAAGGTCCCGGAGCCTATTCCAGTGGTGTCCACCCTTGAAGGAAATGTCATAGAGATAGTTCATGAATATAAATACCTTGGTGTCTGGATTGATGACGCCTTCACCTTTAAACCACATATAGAGAGACTAGTAAAGAAACTGAGACTTAAACTTCGTTTTTTCTTCCGTAATAAACAGTGCTTTTCTTTTGCAGTAAAAAAACGTCTTGTCACTGCAACCTTTTTATCTGTGTTAGATTATGGTGACATTCTGTATATGAACGCTTCTTCTTCATGTCTTCTAATGTTGGACACGATGTATCATGCTTCCTTGAGGTTTATTACCAATTGTAAATACCTGACCCATCACTGTGATTTGTACTTAAGAGTAAAATGGCCTTCTTTGGCCATTAGAAGACAGGGGCATTGGTACACTTTTATTTACAAAGCTATGCTTGGATTGCTGCCTCCTTATATTTGTACTTTGGTCACAAGGACAAATAGTGGTTCTTACTCCTTGCGCTCAAATGATCAGCTGCTGTTGTCTGTTCCCTTGTCCGCACAGAGCTGGGTAAGAAAGCCTTTGTCCACTCTGCGCCTTTTTCATGGAACATGTTACAGAAAGACTGGAAACTAACTGAATTGTTGTCTTTAAATGTTTTTAAAACTAAACTCAAAGGCCTACAGGCTGCCTCAATAATGTGTAATTGTTTTGTGTAATTTTAACTTTGTTTGTTCGTATGTATTTGTCTTGAAATGTGCTGCCTCTTGGCCAGGACTCCCTTGAAAAAGAGGTCTTTGATCTCAACGGGACATTCCTGGTTAAATAAAGGTTAAATTTAAAAAAAAAAAAAAATGTTATCAAAACCTACCTGGTCCTAATTTTCTCTCTTCTTAAATGTTGAATTAACTACATTTCATGGAAATCTGAGTTCAGTTCCAATAAGCACACCCAAGCCTGATTACTGGCAGACCTGTTGAATCAAGAACTTCTGGTTTCTGGTCTATCAAGACATGGAGGAGAATGTGCAGCCATTTGTTTATGTTGAACCCAAGTGTGCTCTGCAGCAGGACAATGATCCAAAACACACCAGCAAGTACACCTCTGAATGGTTTAATAAAAACAACATGAAGACTTTGGAGTAGCCTAGTCCCGCTGTGGTATGACCTTAAGAAGGTGGTTCATGCTCAAAAACTCTCCAATGTGGCTGAATTATAACAATTCTGCAAAGATGAGAGGGCCCAAATTCCTACACATCTCTGTAAAACACTCATTGCCTGCTATCATAAATGCTTGATTGCAGTTTTTTTCTGCTAAGGGTGGCCCGACCAGTTCTGAGGTTTAAGTCCAGTCATCTTTTTACACAGGACCATGAAGGTAATTTTTTCCCCTAAGTAATAAACACTTTCATTTAGAAACTGCATTTTGCGTTTACTTGTGTTATTTTTGCCTAATATTTAAATTTGTTTGATGATCTGAAACATTTAAGTTTCAAAAACAGGAACTCAGGAAAAGACAAACACTCCTGTTACTCTCAGATTATGAACTATAGCCCTGATAAAACCCGTAAATGCCAAACAACATATCACAGTTCTCCTCTTTTTCTTCTTTTTTGACTGTTCATATACCTCCATGTCATCCTGATGCAATCCTCTTCCTCTGCAATGTTGGCAAATCATTCTTCACTACTTTATTCCACTGTGATATTCATTTTCCTCTTGTTGATTTAATAGTTAGTAAATTATTACTTGAATCTGAAATCTGTAGGTCCTGATTCTTCAGATAATTTGTTACCTGAGTTTCTTCACAGATTAGTTGTTCTTGTTGTTTTCTAAAAGTAGCATGTCTTGTCAACAACAGCTAATGAGGGCCAGTGAGGCAGGAAAGGGACTGGTTAGATGTAATGAATATGCACATAATAGCTTAATGGTATGAATGTGAGAGACACCTCAGAGCTGAAGAAATGACTGAGTGAATGAGAGAATAAAATAAGCTACTCTGACTTATAATTGAACAAGAGACACGTATCTTGGTAGTGACTGACTTTCTGGTGTAGTACAGGCAACGAATGAGTGAAAGAAGAAAAATGTGTATATTAACTCGCCTGCAAGTTGAGTAATAGCTTTGGAGCATCTATTTTTAACCACAAAGCTCTGTAAAACTCTTCAAGCTCAGCACCAAATACCTTTTTAATGTCTTTGTAATGTGAATGTAACCATTCGCTGGCTAAACCCCAAATCTCTCCCATGACACATTTGATAATTAGCACATGTAGCACTCACTCTACCTTTTGGAGGTACACTGATTGTCAGTGTTGCCTGATTGTTTGCTGTTTGTATGATGTAAAATCAGAGGCCAACTTCTAACTACCCCATAGAGCTCATTTGGAACCAGCCTCATTAGTTATCATTACTGACCATCAGAATCAGCTTGATATAGCAAATATGTGTACATATACAAGAAATTGATCTCTGGTTATTTCTTTGCTCTCCATGTACACAAGGCATTACTCGTGACTGAAATTTCGTGACTGAAATGGACTGCATGCACTTACACAAGCTGTTTGACTTGCATAATATGGGCCTTAAACCTGATTCATTTTATGTGAAGGACACTCACCCTGATCTATCAGTTTATACTGTTTCCACAGTATCAGCTTCAGTTAAACAAAATTTCACTGGGCCCAAGTACAGCCTGTCACAATACTCCTCAGTACACAGGACACTTTGTACTGTTGGTGTATTTTGTGCTTGGGCAATTATTCCAAAAAGACACATTAAAATGTGAACATCACATTCTCTGCCATGTTTCCATAACTTGTCTTTTTCTGTGATCCTCCACTAGACAGATTGTATTTTATGCACTGATCTACAAATGCAGACCCATAAAAGACAGATTACTGTTAATACTTAGAGAACTGAAGAAATGGTAAAACCATGAGTATGCAGGGAGGAGATGTTGGTTACTGGCAGAAGGGCTAAGCGAGCTGAAATGGCAGCACTTGAAAAAGCTGTGAAAACAGGTGGGGCAGGCCTACTGTGGTTGGCTGAGTGAGGGCTGAAAGAGGAAATGGGTTAGGGGTTGATTGGCTTTAGCACTGTTGATTAATTGAAACATACTGACAACATGGCAGATCGTGCTGAATTACAGGAATGATGTTAATCAAAAAAAAAAAAACAACCCTAGCTAAAGCAACAAAAGGTAATCAAAGCTAATTAGTCCGGTGGCCTAACGACCACTGATACCATCATGTTAGTAGACTGAACAATGTAACAGAGAGGAGATGAAGGCCCACCTTTTATTCACAGCTGTCTAGATGTGCAGATGAAGGGCAGGTGTGATCAGTCACAAGTAGACTAGGAAATTGGGTCTAGTGTTTCACACACAAACATCCCAACTCAGACGAAGACAAGACACAATGGAGAAGAGCAAGGCACTGTAGGAAACTTAAGTTTAAGAGAGCTATTTTTTACACATATTTAAACACTTATCTGGAACTAAACACAAAAGCTCTGCTGAAAGAGTTTGTGCAAGCTCAGCTACTTACACTGACATTTGCATGGTAAATAAAGCATGTCCATGCTCAGGGAGTTGAAGGAGGTATAACCTAGAGACACAGGCACCTGATGTGATTACACCCCAGTTTTCACCTTTGCTTTTGTCTCTTCTGTCCTCAGACAGCTGCTCAGCTCCCTGAGGAAACCTCAAGGCCATTAAATCCTACAAACCCAGGTAAGCTATAAGTTTGTGTTGGTTTGGGATCAATATATGTATTTTTGCTGCACTGTAATAATGTTTGCATAGTATGATAAATACTTGGAAACAGCCAGGCCAGGCAGTAATTAGAATTTGCATGTGCACACTTCTTTTTTTTTTTTCCATCTTGACAAATTTTCTACCCTTTTTGGTCTCTGTTCTGCGGTTTCTATTCTGCTATCGCAGTTTCCTGTTTATTGCGTCCTTACGTTTCTTTTTACATTCTGTTATCTCACTTCTAATTATTCTTCTTTCTGCAGTTCCTCGGCCAGGACGCCACAGAAGGCCCATGACGGCTCCAAACACCCCGAAAGAGAAGAGAGCGAAGATCAAGAAAGTGTTGATCACTACACTGACAGTTATGTTGATACTGGGCATACTGGCCATTGCAGCATACTTCAGTGAGTTACAATTCCTAAAAAATGTACTTCCTCAAAACACACTTTACACACTGCAATATGTAAAACTGGCCACACCCTTGTGATCCTGTCCTTCTCTTTTCTTTTCAGTTAAAAACTTGATTGAAAGCAAATACTTTTTTTGCACACGGTCTGTGAAATTCATCCCGTTAGACAAAACCTGCGATGGGCACATTGACTGTGCAGGAGCAGAAGATGAAATTACCTGCATGACGACCTTTAAAGTAAACACTACATTTCCAGGTAGAGTGCACTCCCCACTCTTTCTTTGTCATCATAAATAAACGAAAAACTGAAAAATGCCTCCCCCTCATTCCTCTCTCCAGTGCGACTCCAGTCGAATGATCAGGTCTTGCAAGTTTACGGTCCAGACTCAGGTTGGCGGACTGTTTGTTCTGACGACTGGACCCAAGCGCACACACAGACGGCATGTACACAACTGGGATACACAATGTGAGTTTACAATGACAAGGTGTTGAAATTTGAGGAATACCTTGCAAATTTAACATCCCTGTTATGTGATCTGAAATCAAGCATAAAATCCCCCCCTGCTTCCACAGGAAGCCTACTAGCAAAAACATCTTAGTAAGCTCCTTAACGTCACCGATGAAAACTGGACCATTTACAGCTGTCAGGCCAGGGACCTCAAACACACCTATACAACAAGCCACTGCTGACCGGTAAGGAAGATGTCATCATATGGAAGCCAAATCATGACTTCATGTTTTGCCATTGCAACATAAACTACACAAAATAGAAATGCTAATAAGGGAACTTTCAGTGTGTCTCTTTCTGCTAAATGTATTCTTAGAAAGAAGCACCGGCTCCTTGCGAGTTGCTTCTGCATTTAGCTAAAAACAGGATGTCAATATACACTTTCCATGCTTGGTATCCCTGTTTGTTAGGAAAATCTTCACTTTTTCTTTCCTTTTCTTTTTTAGATTTCACTTCCCCCCCCCCCCCCCCCCCCCCCCCCTTCATATGCAACCCCTTCAAATGAGTCTTTAGTTTCTATTCCTGAAAGACAAAAAGTCCCACAGTTTTTGTTCCTTCTATCTTATCCTTTACGAAAGTGAACAAAACAAAGATTTTACTTTGTATAAAACCCCAGCAGAAATGCAAACGAAATTCTGCACGAGGGTGAAGACAAGTTAGCAATTGGATGTGTGTTTTCTATATTTGACTAATTGTGAGGCTGTTTTGTGATCATATGAATAATGTCTGACATCTGACCAACTCCTCTTACATCTCTTCAACAGTAGTGTATGCCAGTCTGGATCTGTGGTATCTTTATCCTGTTCAGGTGAGTTTTATTTTTACAAAGGCAGCACCTGTCACTAATATTGTTTACAACACCTAACAAGGCAGAGTGAAGTTCTTGGCTTTGTAAGTGGAAGACTACTTGTTGTGTGGAGAGTTTCACACTAACAGGCCCATACATGTCTCCAGGAAACAGCAGAACTATTTCCTAGCGACATATAACAAAGTAGCAAATAAACAGACATAATATAAAATGCAGTTTGAAATGAACCACGGGTCCTTGCAAATAACAATATTATAATATCTTATCAGACTGTGGAAATGTGGGCGCTGATGATCGCATCGTTGGGGGCACTGATACATCCATTGACCACTGGCCATGGCAGGTCAGCCTGCAGCGGTCTGGCCAACATACATGTGGAGGCTCACTGGTGTCACCGCGCTGGGTAGTCACTGCTGCCCACTGCTTCACTGGGTCAGTATAGTTACCATACTATATCATTTCCACTAAATTTGCTTTGTCTTATTCTTTAGCCTCATGATCCCGCTTCCTTCTTGCTCTCTCTCTTTTTCTTTTTTTTCTTTTTCTTTTTATTTATTTATTTTTTGCAGAAGTAATAAGGAGTTGAGGCAATGGGCAGTGGTGTCAGGCCAGACGAGCATAATCACACTGGGAGGCTCCTCTGTGGACAGAGTTATAGTGAATGCAGACTACAATGCAGAAACAAATGACTATGACATAGCACTGATGAGACTCACTAGGCCAATCACAGTGTCAGGTTAGTTTAAATTGTATTCGGTATGTTTGTATTCAGTAGGCTCAACCACCTCTCTGTTGCCCTCTAGTGGCTATGCGTCAAATATCAAGCTTCTCACTACGTAGTAACTTATATTCATTATATTGTGTGATTAGCTTATATCTTTATATGTATTTTCAAACTCTCAAAGTTACATAAAACAAATAAAAATTTCCACTTTATTAAATGTTTTTCTTCTAGATGTCAGAAGACCAGTTTGTCTGCCTCCTAAAGACTATAGCATTACAGCTGAAACCTACATGACAGTGACAGGGTGGGGATACCGACGGGAAAATGGTGAGAAATCCTACATGTAACCTATTCTTTATCACCTAATAATGCAAATAGAAAAAATACTTTTGCCTGTCTATGAGGTTGCAAACATTGTGTGCTTGTGTTCTGCCTTCAGGTGCAGTTGCTGACATACTGCAGGAGGCCAAAATCCCTCTGATAGCTCAGTCAGTATGTTCCAGCCCCACAGTCTATGGTAGCATCATAACAAATAGGATGCTCTGTGCAGGCTTCCCAGAAGGGAAGGTTGATGCCTGCCAGGTAACAGGCCTCCAATTTATTTTCTAATTTACATTAGTTTTTGTATTCTGGGTATTATAGTTATTTTTGGTGAACAAACTTCATTTTTAAAATGTATTTTAAATGTCAGGGGGACAGTGGAGGCCCTTTGGTGCATATCAGTGACTCCAGTTGGAATCTGGTAGGCGTAGTGAGCTGGGGTGTTGGCTGTGCCCGGAAGGGAAAGCCAGGTGTTTACACCAACGTGGAAGTGATGCTCAACTGGATCCAAACAGTCATTGAGGTACTGCATATGTTGAAACAAAGTCACATCACAACATGTTTGTCACTTCACTGGCTAAGAATTTGCCTCAAAAATATTAAAAACATAATATTGTAATTTAATATATACAATCCTCAAGATGATTTCTATTTCATCTCTACAGAAAAACCCATGATGTCATCCACTGTGATAAACAACCACCATGAGAATCCAGTGCGGTCTACCTCTGATAGACTGTGAAACTGTCAAACCTGGTTTTGTTTTGGTTTTTTGAGGGGTTTTTTCCATTTTGGTTGCCAAAAGGTGAGAGAAGGTTGCAGAGAGAGGGGAAGTTGAAGATCTCAACAGCAAAATGGAAACAGAAACACAGCCATATGCATAAACAAAGTGTGCGCGCGTGCACACGCACACACTTCATCAAACACACACATCAGGTGCTGCTTGTGCCATTTCATATTCGTTATCTCAGGGGACAATTGTATTTATGCCTGTAGCTGTGTGAACTAGTATGTTTGGGATCTTTATAGCAGAGTGTCATACATGTTTTTTTGTTTTTAAAGCATTTTTGTGTTCGTATGTGTCTTTGTCACACCCAAGTAATTGACTTGTGTTGTTGTTTTGTTTTCCTTAGAGAAGAACCATCAAAGTTTATTTTATTTATATTGACACTAATTGCTGCAAACGCTTTTTTTTTTTTTTTTTTTTTTTAGTGTCTTTTATTTTTGGAGTTTGTCCTGCAAGCCTCAGATATAATGTACTTGATTACTGTGTGCCTTGACTTTTGGTTATGAATGTGTGGTTAGGGTTAATATGTCCAACTGCTACAGAGAAAGGTAACATACCTTATTATCAGGTATCGGTAATATTTTAAAAGGGACAAAAGGTCTGAGTTTAATGCATTTATTGTGCTATTTTAGATGATCACTCTATTAAACGGCAAAGGCACTTTCTTTTTCTTTTCTTTTTTTTTTCTTTCTCTTTTTTTTTTGCAGGACTGCAGGTGTGATACTTCTGACCTCAACATGATTTAGCACTTTAAGTGGAAAGTGAGAATTAAAGGACCTCACTTTATGCGCAGAGGATTTAGGTCACGAGTCTACACATAGATTTAATACAAATATTCATAGATCACACTCCATGTTGGCTCCATCATGAGTAAGCAATTCACTCTCACTATAACCAGAATATTTCAACTAGTGTTCACCAAGTTATTTCCTTCACTGCAAGGGAATTTCTCCCAAAAATACTGCAGAATTTGTTTTTGTCAAATTTATTGCAGTTGGTTAATTTTTGCACTCAACCAAAACTCATTCAAACAGGAAATCAACCTGAATTTGTTATAAAACTGTTTCTTTACTAAAAAAAAAAGTACTTTATTATATCATATATTAAATAGAGTTGGACATGAGTATGAGTGCCATGAGGACTAATATTTGTGAATATTTTCCATTTTGTTGTTCTTGTTGTTGATGTTGTTGTTGTTTAATCTATGAGACGTTTGCAAAGACAATAAAAACAATGTTAACTTGGTAACTGGGACAATTGTTCTATTCTTAATTGTGTGTCGTTAAATGTTTGTGTCATCCCAGCCTCAAAGAAACACCCACAGACCTTAAATTAAAGTGATGAAGAAATATTTTTTTTATCATTATTTACATTATGAACAAAAGATGAAATATTAGATCAAACTTTTAATTCAAACTTTTTGCACAATCAGATGATAGCCCACCTTGCTTGGAGAAACAATCATTTGTTCAGCATGATTGAAGATTAAAGAAATACTGCCCCCTTATGGTCAACAAAGTACAGGGACTTTACTCCATTAACCCTTTAAACCCCAACCCATCTTTAAAGCAGGGGTGCGCAACTCCAGGCCTCAAGGGCCGGTGTCCTGCAGGTTTTAGATGTCAAACACCTGAATCAAGTGATTAGCTCATTACCAGGCCTCTGGAGAACTTCAAAACATGTTGAGGAGGTAATTTAGCCATTTAAATCAGCTGTGATGGCTCAAGGACACATCTAAAACATGCAGGGACACCGGCCCTTGTGGACTGCGATTGGGGACCCCTGGTTTAAAGGGTTAATACCTGACTTCTAAAATGGTGTTATTCAGAATTCGTAGAATATGGCTAGATTGTGTCAAGCTGATAGAAAGGCAACAGTAACTTATATAAACACTTGTTACAACCAAGAAATGCAGAAGAGCAACTCTAAATGCACAACATTCAAACCTTGAAGCAAATGAGCTACAGCTGCAGAAGAGTCTAAAGCTGGGCAGACACTGTGCGATTTTTTCAGTCGCGCGATTCAGCTCCTGCTCAAACTGCACGATTGACTCGCAGGGGTTAGAAGTTCATAGGTCACGATGCAGGGTCTCACACTATACGGCCGATGCTCTGATGAGACCTGAGTGCTCACACTGTGCGTCCATAAAAATGAAGGTTATAACAGAAATTCTGTCGCTCGCTCTCCCTTTCTGTCTTTCACTCACACAGACACACCACCACCATCAACTTTGCTAAATTGCTAATGAAAAACATTGATCAGGCAGCTGTGATTGAGCAGCAATGTAAATCCAACTATTTTCACGGTTGTTGTGGTCGTGATAATTTTGTGAGGCCACATCGAAAAGGCTCGGATGAGCTTTCCAAAGTTCTACAAGTTGTGCCTCCATCGCTTGTGTCCAGATCACACAGTGCACTGCTGCGCCGTCTTTTTCGCTGACATTTGTGTTTGCGCGTGCGCAGTGTGACAAACTGCGGTGACACCCTCCCGACCAAGCGATTGATGATCGGGAGCTGGTCGTGAGGTGTTAATCGCGTCTCGTTACCCCACGTATACTACACGATGCACGACGCACGATCAAGGCTAAAATCGGGCCGATCGCCAAAACGGTCGCACGACTCAAAAATCGGCTCAAAATGGGCCAAAAATCGCACAGTGTAAGCCCAGCACAAGGAGGCCCAATGTCTCCTGCAGAATTTAGATGGTTGGGTCAGCCTTCCTGCCTTGTAGCAATGGTTCGAGCCGTTGCTGCTGGTGTAAAGGTGTCGAAAATGGTTTCTTGTTATACTTAATGATTACAGTACACCCATCTTCTGGTGGCTGTTTCCAACAAGGTAACACTCCATGCACCAAAGCTCAAACTGTTTCTTAAACATGAAAATGTGTTCATTGTACTCAAACGCCCTCCACAGTGACCAGATCTCAATACAATAGAACAACTCTGGGTTGGAATGGAATTAAGAGACTCGTCATGGATATCTAGCTGATAAATCTGCAGCAACTGTCTGATGCTATCATGTCCAAAGTCTCTGAGAAATGTTTCCAGTATCCTTTTTGAATCTATGTCACGAAGGAGTAAGGCAAAAGTGATTATCGACCTTGTACTAGTTAGGAGGACCTAATAAAGGGTCCACTAAGTGTATGTGTGACTTTGAGTTATATTGCAAAAATAAAACACTTGATTACATATCAAAAGCAACATTTATTTTTCAAGAACTACAAAAGTACTACAAAAGCCAGAGATAAACCCCATTAGTGGTTACTGTTGATGTACAGATGCAGTCCACCACCAACTGACAGGCACAGTCTTACTGTGCAAACCCAGGACAAAACCTCCACCTTGCCCATATGTACCCTTCAATCTAACCTTTCACCAGAAAACAGACTGATATGAAAATCTTAACATTAAGAATGAGTGATGAGGAAATTGAATGTGTATGGACCTTGAAATCATTCAGAATAATACCGGAGCAGCTAACTTGCAACTTTGGAAAAATTAAGATGGACTTATGGTTATCTTCTGGTCGGGGCTTTGAATGGATCATCCTGTATCAAAAAAAAAGAGAGATGAAGAAAAAAGGATTAAGGCACGAGTCAGAGAAAACTAAAAGATGTAACAATGTTGGATAAATATATGTGTGATGTCATGAATTCAGATGCATTTTTATTGCACCTAAAATTATATGATTTAATGTTAATCCCACTTTACACGACACATCCTATACATGAATTTGCCTTCTTGTTTTACCTCATCATCATCGCTGTCCTCAAATGCAATTCCTCTTGACTGGCTCTGGCTCTGAGAGCCGTATTTAGAGAAGGACGATGATGATGAGGACGACGGTCTGGTGTAGAAAAGAACAAAGATTTTAAGAAAAGCCATTGCTCTAAAATACAACACTATATAACACTTCTACAGTCTAGGTTTAAACAAACATACTTTGGAGGCGGCCGGGCAGCTTTTGTTACAGGTATATCTTCATCTGAGTCATCAATGATCACCTAAAGATGGATAAATATGAGATTAAATGTTAGTGGATGGTATGCTTCACTTAAAAATGGAGATGTGTGAGTTTATGAGTGTTACCGTTTATCATTAACTCACTTCATCTGTGTAAGATTTGGTGGCTCTAGTCCGAGAAGGCTTTTGAGAGGATGCCTGAAATGCTGAAGAGCGAGGGAGGAAACATACAGTGGACGTGGGACAGATTTCTGTGAATTTTCTGTGGCTCTTTTTGTGGATAGACAAGTGCAACATGTGTTTACAGACAGTCACACTAACAGACGTTTACATTCCCCTACCCTGCAAAATGCTTTGGGATGTTGTTGAGGACTTCTGGGACCGACCCCGACCAGCTGGCTTTGGTTCAGAGGCAGTCGCACCTGAACAGCCCGAAAAATAATGGAACAAGTCATTGAAATCATGGATTGATATTATATACGTTGCTTTTTCTGTACTATCACATTAGCCTATAATGTCTATAATATTTATGCGAAATGTCATCCCATCATGACATCATGTTATCATCAATGTTCATTTCAGAATTATACAAAAAGCTCCTTTTTCATGCAACACAAAATGGGTTAACAATTTAAAGTTGTTCTGCAGCAATGGAAGTCAAAAGCTGGTGCTACAATTCCTACAGGTGTTTCAGATTTTCTAGATTACTTACAACCTCCTTTGTCTGTATAAAGCAGTGTTGGAACACACTGTGGTACCATACCCTTGTGAGCATCAGTTGAACAGTACTGTATTGCAGAAACTAGTGTGTTGCTACACAAATGGTGAGAAAAAAAGCAATTAACAATGGAAGAGAGACAGAGCATCATAACACTTAAAAATGTAGGTCCTTCCTACAAAGAAATTGGAAAGAAAGTCAAGGAGTCGTTATAGTTTCTTTCACCATCAAAAGCAACTTAGAAATTGGGGCAAACTCTGACAGGAAGAGCTCTGGCAGACCCAAAGCCACAACTGAATCAGAGGGCAAATTTCTGAGAGTTAACAGCTTGCGTGATAGGCGGCTCACAGGACAAAAGCTTCAAACACAGCTTAATAGTGGTTGTAGTAAACAAGTCTCAGAAGAGAAGACTTTGAGCTGCAGGTTTGACAGGATGAGTTGCAGCAAGAAAGCCACTG